CCACACCAGGGTAACTGTCCGTATTCCATCTGCCACACCAGGGTAACTGTCCGTATTCCATCTGCCACACCAGGGTAACTGTCCGTATTCCATCTGCCACACCAGGGTAACACCCTCCGCCCTCTGGCTCTGCAGAGTTTTCACATGATGCATTCAATATTTTAATTCTGCTTCTGTCTCTCAACAAATTCCTCAATGCACTTTGCCCCTCCACAGTAGGGAGAGAGAAACTCATGTATGAAAATTGTTGCAGCTGTAGTTTTGAGAGTGTGCTTGCTCTGTAGCTTCTGCAGAGCACCCTCTGTCTCATTCAGTTGTGCATCCTCTCTCTAGCAATCACCTGTCTGAACTGCCCACTATCACTTAGTTACATCAATGTACCATCTTGTTTCAGTATCCTTGAACTGGATTTTCGCTTTTACAGAACAAAACAATTGAAATTCCTTTTGCCCTACAAACTACATATTTTTGAAATGCAAAACCTGGACAATATCCAGGCTTGGGCTGAAAAGTGGCAGATAACATTTGTGCCACACAAATGCCAGGCTATGACCATCACCAATAAGAGACAATCTAACCACCGCCCCTTGACATTCAGTGGTATTACCATCAGTGAGTCCTCCACTATCAACATCCTGGGGGTTGCCATTAACCAGAAACTCAGCTGACCTAGCTATAAAGATACTGTGGCAACAAAAGCAAGTCAGAGTCTAACTGAATACTGCAGAGAGTAACTCACCTCCTGACTCCCCAAAGCCTGTTCACTATCTACAAGGCACAAGTCAGGAGTGTGATGGAATACTCCCCACTTGCCTGGATGGGTGCAGCCCCCACAACATGCAAGAAGCTTGACACCATCCAGGATAAACAGCCTGCTTGATTGGCACTATATCCACTAACGTTGATTCCCTCCACCACTGATGCTCAGGAGCAGCAGTGTGTACTATTTACAAGATGCTCTGCAGAAATTCACCAACAATCCTTAGAGAGCAACTTCCAAACACATGACCACTTCCACCTAGAAGGACAAGGGCAGCAGATACATGGGAACACTGCCCCCTTCAAGTTCCCCTCCAAGCCACTCCCCATCCTGACTTGGAAATATATCGCTGTTCCTTCACTGTTGCTGGGTCAAAATCCTGGAATTCCCTCCCTAAGGACGTTGTGGGTCAACCTACAGCACGTGGACTGCAGCGGTTCAAGCAGGCAGCTCACCACCAAATTCTCAAGGGCAAAAAAAGACAGGTCCAGCCAACGAGGCCCACTTCCCATGAAAAGAATTCAGGAGAGAGAATAAAACTTGCTGGAGGGATGGGTAGTTTTGGGACGGTGTTGGGGAGCGAAGGGGATGTGGAAGTACTGCAAGTGAGTGCTGATCCCTCTGGGGAAGACTGACGACCTCGATCAGAGGCCATCATGCTAGTTCTGGTGAATCTGCAATATTGACATTGAATATTTTTGGATTCTAGAACTTTCCAGTAATCTTTCATGGACTTCTAGGAGAAGATCAGAGAGAGGAAAAGAGCCCATCCTTCTTCAATCTTGACGAGATCGATCAAGTCTTGAACTACCTGAAGAAGCTGCTAACCAACCAGGGAAAGAAGGGTTTTGCCAAGATTTCACCCAAAGAAATTGGAGTCATTACTCCTTACAGGAAACAGGTTTGGAATTTCTACCTGGGGGCAGTGGAGGTGGAATTAACGAATAGCTGCATTTTTTTTATTCATTAACGGGATGAGGATGTCGCTAGCTAGACAGCATTTATTGCCCATCCCTAATTACCCAGAGGGCAGTTCAGAGTCAACCACATTGCTATGAGTCTGGAGTCACATGTAGGCCAGACCAGGTAAGGATGGCAGTTTCCTTCCATAAAGGACATGTGAACTAGATGGGTTTTTCCAACAATCAACAATGGATTCATAGTCATCATTAGATTCTTAATTTCCAGATATTTTATTGAATTCAAATTCCATGGCGGGATTCAAACCAGGGTCCCCAGAACATTATCTGGGTCTCTGGATTAACAGTCCAGTGATAATACCACTAAGCCATTGCTTGAGAACAATCAAAAAAGTCATACCCCTGCCCCCAAATTCCAATTTATTTCTGTGCAGCCGTCCATGAATCTGTCTTGTCCTTGTCCTTGTCCTTGTAACAGCCTCCATGGGTTTGTTGCGTTAAAATTGAGAGCCATCTCAAGCACTTGTGATTCTAACTTGCCTTGCAACTCAGAATTGTCACCTTTTGTCACTTTCCCCACTTTTCCCTGAAAATACCACGCCTCAGACTTTTACAACTCATCATATACGTCTTTGTGTTAGTCTCACTGCTGCCTGTTCTTCACTCAGAGCCCTGTAATTTGCTCCACTGTTTTGAACCGTTTATCAATTTCCCATTGAAAATGCCTTTTGAATCTGTTTTCACTGCCCTTTTCTGACACTGATCACAGTAACTCACTGGGTGTGTTTTTAAAAAGGAAAGTCTCCCTGTCTTTCTTCTGGCTTGTGCATCAACAGAACTGCACAGCACTGTGGAAAGTGAAGAGAAAGGGTTATGATAGTTGGTGACAGAAGTGGGCTTTAGGGAGATAGCGGGGTGAAGGGAATGATACCCATGGTGTGGAGCCTGGGCAGCTGATGGCACAGTCACTAGTGGGTTGATATAGTCAGGAAGAGGGATGGCATGCCAAAAGGCAGGAGAGGTGTAGGGATCAGTGGGGGTGGCAGTTTAAAAAGGACAGACACAGAAACAAACACCAAGTAACACAGCAATCTTGAGAGTGCTGGATTTTCGCTTTTACAGAACAAAACAATTGAAATTCCTTGCCCTCTGTATTCCTTTTGCCCTACAAACTACAAGTTTTTGAAATGCAAAACCTGGACAATATCCAGGCTTGGGCTGAAAAGTGGCAAATAACATTTGCACATCCAAAACGTCAGCTTTCCTGCTCCTCTGACGCTGCTTGGCCTGCTGTGTTCATCCAGCTCTACACCTTGTTATCTCAGATTCTCCAGCATCAGCAGTTCCTAGTATCTCTGGCGTATTGTTCCTGTTTTTCAAAGGGATGTTGAAACTACTTGTGCAGCTGTCATAAACTGGCCAGGATCTTTTGTTTTTATTCATTCACGGGATGAGGGCGTCACTGGCCAGGCAGCATTTATTGCCCATCTCTAATTGCCCAAAGGGCAGTTCAGAGTCAACCACGTTACTGTGGGTCTGGAGTCACATCTAGGCCAGACCAGCTAAGGATGGCAGTTTCCTTCCCCAAAGGATATTAGTGAACCAGCTGGGTTTTTCCAACAATTGGCCATGATTCATGTTCATCGTTAGACTCTTAATTCCCGATTTTTATTGAATTCAAATTCTACCATGTCCCGTGGTGGGATTCGAACCCGGTCCCCAGAATATTACCTGGATCTCTGGATTAAGAGGCTAGTGATAATACCACTAGACGATCACCTCCTCAATCTCCTCATTTGCCACAGTGGTTTTGTTTGATAAATGTGTGTAGGCCAAGGGTTTTAGCAGAACTGCTGGGGGTAAACGGAGTTAAGATACAGATAACCCCTGAAGTCCAGATTGTAGACTAAATTGTGAGGAGGGGTTATGCAAATTAGGCTTACATTTTCTCTAGAATTAAGAAGGTTAAGGGGTGTTCTGGTTAAAGTCTCCACGTATTAGCAGGAAATGATGGGTAGATAAACTATTCCCACTGGAGCCTCTGGAATGGGGGAACAGAGTCTGAGAATTAGGACCAGCTCGTTTAGGAGAGATGTTAGGAAGCACTTCTACATGCAAAGGGTAGGGGAGGTTTGGAACTCTCTTCCACAAAAGGCAGTGGATGCTCGATCAGTTGTTCATTTTAAATCTGACACAGATAAATTTCTGCTAAGCAAAAGTGTTGAGGGACGTGGGCCAAAGGCAGATATATGGAGTTAGGCCACAAATCAGCCATGACCTCATTGAATGGCAGAACAGACTCGAAGAGCTGAATGGCCTGTTCCTTTATTCCAATGTGCCTGTGTCCTAACTGTGTAGACTGCAACACACTTGAGATGTTGGATGATCTCCTTCTGTGATGCTTGGTTGTTAGCTGTGGTGACACTTAAGTCAGCGCTGGTGCTGTTTAATCAGACTTACTCTCGACAGGTTGAGAAAATCCGCGAAGCGATTAACCGAGTGGACAAGGTGCTGAAGGTTATGGATAACATCAGAGAGTTGAAGGTATGTGGCAATGCTGAGGTGGACCGGTAATGGTATATTTTATCCTGGCACTGCTTCCTCTTTCTTTTCAATCTGAACCTTGTGGATTTGGTGTTTTCTAAATGTTAATCATTTTATTCAGCGACAAGCGGTCACTAAATAAAACAGTCTTTATTTGTGCATGGTTTCCTTCCCCCGTGATGAATTTCAGGATCAGTTCATCTAAATCCAACCTCTGGGTGGCCCAGACACTTGGCGCTTCATGAATATTTTTGAAGGGCAGCCAGTGCTATTTTCCTTGACATTACAACAGCCAATTTGTACACAGCAAGCTCCCAGAAACAGGAAACCAAAAGCCAAATGCTGTGACTGCTGAAAATCTGAGACAAAAGTCAAAAATACGAAATACTTAGCAGCTCGGGCAGCATCTATAGAGGGAAGCAATGAACATTTTGAATTGAATTCTGAAAAAGAATCATATTTGACTTGCAAAGTTAATCGTTTCACTTTCTGCAGATGCTGCCAGTCTTACTGAGTATTTCCAGAAAGTTCTGTATTTTTTTAAACCCCATGTTGATGTTGATTGAGGAATATCTGTTGGTCAAGGGGGAACTCCTCTGCTGTTCAAAAATAGCAGGAGGTGCCTCTGTTTAGCAACTTGTGCAAAAGACAGTTCCTCTGACAGTGCAGCACAGTGAGTGTTAGCCCGGATCATCCGTCTGCACTAAGGTTTGACCCTACCTGCTCCCAACGAAGCCACAATTATTCACATCGTGAAGAATTGAGCTTAATCCATGAAACTTAATGCTTATTCATTTCGGCAGTCGTAAAAATGTGTTAGTTGACTCCCATGAGAGCCCAGAATGCAGAGTTTAAAATCTGCACAAGCTCAGCAAAGCAAAACTCTACCCAGTGTAGCGAGTGTGTTGATGTTAATGGCTTTTCCTGCTGCATCAGATGGACTTTTAAAAACAAAAGGCAAATTAATCAGCATCTTTCCTTTTAGTAATGGCCAAGCCTAATTGTTAGCATCCAGCCAGAATCACATTACTCTCTCAATCGCACTTTAATCAGCTGATTGAAGGTTCTGACTTTAGTCTGAAATCAGCAGGTGCGTTTTAAATTTTATTGAACTCTGAACAGCCTGATTTGATACGAAAACAGAAATTGTTGGCGAAACTCAGCAGGTCTGGCAGCATCTGTGGGGAGAAAGCAGAGTTAGCATTTAGAGTCAAATGACTCTTTGTCAGAACTGGCAGAGTTCTGAAGAAGGGTCACTGGACTCAAAACGTTAACCCTGTTTCTGTCTGCACAGATGCTGTTAGACCTGCTGAGTTCCTTCAGCATTTTGTTTCGGATCACCAGCATCCCCAGTTCTTTGTTTTATTTGATTTTTGATACTTGATATTTATTTGGTGACTTGTCTGTAATTGCTGCTGATGGTGATGGCAAGTAATTAACGCATTTGCCCAATGTAGCCAGCTGTTACTGCTGAGTCCAGGCCGGAACGTGATGGGCACGGAGATTTTAAGTGTTTGCATTTCTTTAGGTGGGGTCTGTCGAGGAGTTTCAGGGACAGGAACGAAAAGTGATTATCATCTCCACAGTCCGCAGCTGTTCCGATTATTTACAGATGGACGAGGACTTCAACCTAGGCTTCCTCAAAAACCCAAAGGTATTTTTGTTACAACTCATCCCCAAAGCACTCCACACTGCAGTGATGTTCCTTGCCCCCCATTGGTTTTGAAGTATAGTCGCAATTGTAGGAAACATGCTCTGAACTCCCACAACCAGAAATTTAGTAATGACCACACCATCTGTGTTTGTGATGTCAACTGAAAGATAATTAATAGCTCCAGGGCACCAGAGGGAACTCTCCAGCTCTTCATTTAAAAATAGTAGCTGTCTCCATTTGAGCGAGCAAATAAACAGGGTGTCTCGTTCAAGGTCATAGTTTTAGGATAAGGGGCCGCAGCTTTAAAATAGAGATGAGGAAGAATTACTGTGGAATTCACTCCCTCAGAGTGTGGTGGATGCCAGGACACTGAATAACTTGAAGGAGGAGATAGATTTTGAATTAGTAACGTGTTAAAGTGTTATGGGGAGTGGGCAGGAAAGTGGAGTTGAGGCTGAGATAAGATCTGCCACAATGGTATTAAATGGTGGAGCAGACTGAGGGGCTGAATGGCCTACTCCTGCTCCTAGCTCTTCTGTTCATATATTTCATCCAAAACACCGTAAACCGGAGACCGCTGTACAATTTCTCATACTTACGAATGCAATCCCATATAAGGGTGTATTAATATTAATTTTGAAGATCTGACACACAGATATTACCTTGTACTTATGTACGGCTATTTTACCTTGTCCTGCCTTGCGTATAAATCGACTTGTGAACAGACTCTAACGGAACCTCCTTGCAATCCGGGGACTGCCTGTATCTGGGACTGTGCAGCACTCCCTCTGCGTTGCACGGGCAGTGTCTGTCGGTCTGGACTAGGGGCTCGAGGTCAGACTGAGACTTAATCCTGTGACCTGACATAGCAGTTAGAGTGAGTAATGGTGAGAGATAATGTGTTTCTCAATTGGCTATCGATTGCATTCTCTGTGTCACTCTTGCAAATCTGGACTGCCTCATGGGCTGCGTATGGTGTGAAAATGTTTGTTAGTGAATATTGAGTAACCTTCCTTTCTGCTCTTTTCAATAGCGTTTTAATGTTGCACTGACCAGAGCCAAGGCCCTGTTGATAGTGGTGGGAAACCCCATTATCCTCAGCAAAGACCGAAACTGGAACAGGTAGGTAAAACCTGTCATGCTGAGTACCATGAAACTGCCACCAGTTCCAGTTTGCAGCTACAGGATTGCGTAGCTGTCCTGTGACCTATTCAGGAGCTTTATGAAAGCTTCAGCAACCCCCAATTATCACAGCTGAGTTCATGCATTTGCCACCTGGACGCTGATGTAAACCAAAACTGGGGAACAATTGTAGGAAAGCAGCTTTTAAGAAAAAACCGCTCACCTACATTTTGACCATGTAACATTCTAAAAATTATTGGACGTGGGAAAATTGGCTGTTTGACCAAGTCTGGAATTATCCAGTGATCTAACATGGCCCTGTCTGGGTAAGGCTCACTGTGGGACATGGAACATTGACAGTGGGGAGTGTGATCAGGATGACAGTTCTTGCGGAGCTTTGGTGAATGGTGCTGGAGGAGAAGGGGGTGGGGCTGTGGTGGTTAGAACAAAGAGATCATTTGGTGAATCCTGGAAGATTCTGATCGATCAAAGTTCGCAGCTTGTGTTCTCCATGTGACCGTGGGTTGCAGGGAAACATGGTCCAGTCATGTTTGCTCAGTTCCCCTATTGACCTTTCCTGGTCGAGGAGATACTCCGAGGAATCTTGGTTAAGCTTTTCCTTGTGTCAGGTGCAGTGAATGAGCTCCAACATTGCTTCAGAAGCTCAGTAACATCCAGGGAGAGGCTGCTCCTCACTCGACTCAACATTCACTCCCTCCATCACTGATGCTCAGTGTGTACCAGCTCCAAGGTGCACTGCAGACGTTCACCAAGGCTCCATAGACAGAATCTTCCACCATCTAGAAGGACATGGGCAGCAGATACATGGGAACATTACCCTCTGCAAATTCCACTCCAAGTCACTCACCATCCTGACTTGGAAATATATCCTTCACTGCTGCTGGGTCAAAATCCTGGAAATTCCTCCCTAAGGGCATTTTGGGTCCACATACACCACATGTACTGCAGCAGTTCAAGAAGGCAGCTCAGCACCACCTCTAGGACAACTATGGACAGGTAATAAATGCTGGACCAGCCAGCGATGCCCACAAGTGAATAAAAAGTAAAAGATTATTAACTATTGATGGTAATGGAGTTCTTATTTCTAGAGAACGGGTGAAAGAAAATCTGAATCTCATTAAAACTATGTACCAGTAGGGTCAAAAAAGGGAGGATGTCTGTTTGTTTGGGGGTGTGGGGAGGAGCCCAAAACTAGACGTTGCAAGATAATTTATTAATCAATCGAAAAGGGAATACAGGAGAAACATTTTTTCACAGAGTGGCAAGATAAAGGAGCTCATGACCACAAGAACTGGTCAAGGTAAATAATAAAGATTTATTAAAGTGCAATTGGATAAACACATGAGGGAGAAGGATTAACCTAAGGGTGGAAGGAGACAAAAATACAAGTGACAATAAATTACTGTTGTATTGCATTCTATTCTATCTTGTTGGCCAAATGGTCTGATTCTGTCCTGCATGCCGTAAATGAATCCAAGTTGTTTGTTGAATGAAGGAACTTTGCTGAGTTTGCAGGTCTGTGTCGCAGTTGAGACAGTGAACAATCACTGATGGTAGAGGGAAGAAGATTGGGGATGCACAAGGGGCTTGTATTGGAGGATGTGGGGGGGTGTGAGGCAGCAAGAGCGGAAGAACCACTGCCTAGGAGGAAAGGGAGTCTTTGTATCTGTCTGCCTCCTGATTCAGTGTTTTATCTGCAGCTTCCTGAATTACTGTGTCAATAATGAGTGTTACACTGGCTACAATTATGCAAGCGATGATCTTGAAAGTGACCTTGTCGAAGGCCTTGAAAAGCTCGGCCTGGACCCTGACCCAGCAGGTACGTTCAGAGATGTTAGGAAGTGAGTGTGTATGTGTTTTCTTCCCCCATATTTGCATAGAAGGGAAAAGGTAAAATAGCCAGAGTCCAAGAGGGCAATAGAGCTGCTGTCTCATTAGAGAGACAGACAATTGGTGCTAGTTTAATGTGAGGGTCACCACACCTCGGAAGACAGGAGAGTCCTTCATGGTAACCTCAGCTAGCACAGGAATCGAACCCATGTTTTAGTATCACTCCATATTGCAAAACAGCCATCCAGACAGCTGAACTATTGGAAAATTGCCACAGAATATTAAATCAAATCGCACAGAATGTAGTCTTTGAGAATAGCTCATTTGCAAGGGGTTTTGACTTGATTTGTTTGGGGATTTTAGCATTGAGACGAGATCTGCATTCACTGGAGTTTAGAAGAATGAGAGGGACTATCTTTAAAATGTCTATAATTCCCAAGGGCTGAACAGACTGGATGCAGGGCTGATGCCAAGGAGCTAGAGAACAAGGAACCATGGTCTCCGGATACAGGGTGGGCCAATTTGGACTGATATGAGGAGAAATGTCTTCACGAAAAGGTGGTAAACCTGTGAATTCTCTACCACATGCTGTTGAGATCCAGTCCCTCAATATATTTAAGAAAGAAATAGATTTTTAGACACTAAAGACATCAAGGGGTTTGGGGTGAGTGTAGGATTACAGTGCTCAAGTGATGTAACTATGATCATATTGAATGATCTAGAGAGTTTGACGGGCTGAGTAGCCTACTCCTATTTTGTGTTTTGGTTAAGAGACGTTCCTGGCTTGAGGAAACAACTAGGGGGTCAGTAGTGGTGTGGATAGGGTATAGTTAAACTGGGACAAGGTGCTGATGGGACTCATGACATCTTGTTTCTGTCTTGAAGTTTGTTGCTCGCACTTTGGGAATATAATGTGGGGACGGGTGAGACACCTTGTCCAGTGGCCTGATTTGTTAATTCTGAATTGCTCAGCAGATCCTGATACTCTCAGCATCATTCAGCAGCAACTGGAACCTGAATGGAGAAGTGAAGTTTGATGGAACTGAATCTTAAACATGAAGACAGCAATAACATTGCAAACTCTGAATGTCTAAAATTTGACTGGGAGAGCTGCTTTAGTCAAATGTTTATATTAATATATATTTGTAAAATTTGAGAAGAAAATTGAGTTCTCTTAAAAAGATCAAGTACTTTCTATAAATTGTTTAATTTCAAAATTGTGAATTTTTAACTATTTTCTACAAATGGGACCTATGATGTGTTATGGTAATGCTGCATTTCTGAATTCTGCTTTTTCCAATGTGTTGAGGTTCTGCTCTGCAGGGTACTGGTGTGGAAAGTCCATCTTCAAACTGCCCACGTATCAAGATGAAGTCTGCTACAAATCCTGACATAGTTTGGGGACTTGTAGCTGATCCCTAGTTCCACCTCTGACCTGTGTTGCGCTGGCTTATTCTCAGCAGCAGGGTTTGCTGTAACTGACCTCAGCAATTTCGGGGTCATCTGCAGTTCCTTATCAACTTGCCTCCTTCCACCTTGGCACGTTATAGACTGCAGAACGTAGAATGTGACCCTCCTCTCCTTGCCAACCATGTCCAAATAGCCACTCTGCTGAGTTGCTACTGGTTGGGCCATGGGCAGTGTGTTATTTGTTTTGAACCCATGCTCCATCCTGAGCCTTGCTGGCAACCTAGCATTTGTGGATGAATTGATACAGTCAATCATAAACTGTGATGTTTACCCACACCTACTGTCTGTTTAATTGCTGCTTGTTGCTCAGCTCAAACTTTAGAAATGAGTGACATACCTTATGCTCCTTTAACAAAGAAGCTGCCTTTACCAGATTCATTATTGCTGATCTTCGTAGTTAGCAACAATATACAGATTCACTTACAAATTGAGGGTGTGCATGTTATCGAAGGCATCTGTAATCTGCATGTATTTGTCAGAATGCGCAGGTTCCTGTAATGCACTTCCAATGACTGACTGCTTTGTCTGCTTCCTACTTCAGACTTGTGGGAGGAGATTTGATTTTGCTAAAGTTTGAAGATATTGGGTGGACACCCATTATACATCTGTGAAACGGAAAAGGCAGAGAGACACACAAACAGATGGCTGATCGGAAACCATGCAAAGTCAGGATGACCATGTTTGTGTGTCTGTTTATTCCATCAGCAGCTGCTTTCTCCTGTACAGCCAACTTCACAAACAAGGGGGGAGAAAGTAGTAAGAAGCTTAATCCCAGGTGTTGAATGTGTTCCTTGTTTGGTCTCTCACACCCAGCCACTCGTTCCTTCATTATATAATTGATGTGACTGATCTGGTAGCAGTCTTCTTCACTGGGGTTTTCTAGATGAATAATTAGCTTGTTTTGTCTGTGGCATACCATTTGAAAAAAGATGCAATATCTGGAGATCTCAATAAATTTTATAAATATATATATATAAATATTTATATTTATGTGTTTATTGTGTTTATCAAAGACTGATTTGAGTCTTGGCAAGTATGGTGAATGTGTATAAATTGATTCTCTGCTTCCCCCTTCCTTAACTGGTTAATTTGTTTTCTGTGGTGAAAGCTGGTTGGGTCACTGGATAAACTTCCAACTTCTCTTCCGATTTATACCACAGTGTCTCATGTAAACCTGAATGGTCCATTTGGAATTTTGGTTTTCTTCGATTAGGACTATACTCCCACTGGGGCTGGGGTAACCGGATCGAAAAAGTTAAAGAAACTGATGTGATGTGCAATATCACCTCCCATGCTGGCCAATGCTGCACTGGACATCACTTTGAATTCATCCAGCTAGCTGACACTTTCAAAGCTAATGTGTTTCTTGCTGTAATTCCCTTCCTAAACTTCTGCTTCTCCCTTTCCTCCTCTTAATCCTGTGTTATTTTTTACTTAATTCCCAGAATGTGGATGTCACTGTTTTGGCCAGCATTTATTGCCCATTCCTTATGGAGATCTTTTGCCTTGAGCCACTGTTAAAAATGCAGTCCCAGGATTATAACCCAGTGACAGTGAAATAATGGCAAGATGTTTCCAAGTCAGAATAGTGTGTATCTTGGAGGAGAACTTGCAGGGGGTCTATCTGCTGCCCCTGCCCTTCCAGATAGTAGAGGTCACAGGTTTGAATGGTGCTATCAAAATCACCTTGGTGAGTTACTGCAGTGCACCTTGTAGATAGTACACACTGCTGCTACTGAGCATTGGTGGTGAAGGGAGTGAATGTTGAAGATCGTGGATGGAGTGCCAATTAAGTGATTGTTAGGAATCTTATTATGATCAAGATTTATTATGGTACAGGTAGTTCTCCTGTAATACGATAGTTGCATTCTTGTGTGACCTCACACTATAGAAAATCGCGCCATAGAAAATCACATTATAGGGAAATCGCTGTAGAAAATTCCTACAAACTGTACAGCAGAAAGTTTGCGTTATCCAATAGTGTCCACTATTCATCAATCACATTGCAGCCAATTTGTGTTAACGAAGCACGTGTTATAGCAGGACTACCTGTATTGATCTTTTTGATTAGTGACAACCTTTGGTCACCTGTCCTAACTGAAGGCCATGTAGATAGTATGAGAGTATAACTGAGGTCCCGAATGGCCAATCCTATTTCTGAAGTTCTTATTTCCATATTTGGATTAGTGTTGTATCTTTTCCATTGAAGAGCTTTGAAATATCAAAGGTACTATATAAGTGAAAGCTGCTGTTCAAAAGCACAACTATATTGAAGCAAATTCTGATGATTTATGGATAAACCCAGCGGTTGAACTATTTCTAAGCTGTGAATGCAATGACAGGGATGGAAAATTGGCTCGGTAGGAAGGAGAGCTTGCTTTCCAAGTTTGGCTGTATTCAAACAAAGTTTATTCCCCTCTCTCTGAGGACTTTTAAAATGCTAATATTTTAACAGTGTCTGCTTGTCAAGTGACTAAAGGGAGGAACTGTGAAAGGGGACAAGTTGGGTAAATATTCTTAAGAAGTCATATTGGACTTGAAATGTTAACTCTGTTTCTCTCTCCTCAGATACTGCCAGATCTGCTGAGTTTCTCCAGCAATTTGTGGTTGTTTCAGAATTCCAGCATCCACAGTATTTTGTTCTGATCTATTTTGTTGTCCTATTCTGATTAAGGGTCACTCAACCTGAAACATTAACTCTAATTTCTCTCCACAGATGCTGCCAGACCTGCTGAGCTTTTCCAGCAATTTCTGTTTTTGTTTCCGCAGTACTTTGGTTTGATTCAGATAAACACTCAATGGATTCAGCACCCTTTACATGGATGTGTTCGACACTGTCAGCCTTAAAGAGAAGACCTGGCAATTTGGGTATCAATCATTAATGTAAGATATGCATAATTAAATCCAATGGACAATTTTCCTTTACCCAAGAGGAGTGAGAATGTGGAATTGTGGCACTGCCACGAGCGGTTGAGGCAATGAACATGAGCAAAAAAGAAACAAGGTGCGTTGATGGAGGGAAAGGGGTGCAAGGAGGCTTACATGGAACGTAAACCCTCTTTGAACTTGTTGAGCTGAATTATTGTGTTGCAAGTATTTTATAAAACCTATGCTGCAATTCACTGTCTAAACTTATACAGTACATCTCACCTATTCATCATGTTTTCCAACTCTTAAGAGTGTTATAGTAGAGTACTAATCCCCCAGGATCCGATTAGCTGTACCCTAAACTCTGTGAGGAGTGAGGGAAGAGATTGCTGGGCCCCTTGCTGAGATATTTGTATCATTGATAGCCACAGGTGAGTGCCAGAAGACTGGAGGTTAGCTAACGTGCCAGCTATACAAAACCCTGGTCTGAAGTATTGTGTCCAGTTCTGGTCACCTCATTACAGGAAAGACGTGGAAGTGTTGGAAAAGATGCAGAGGAGATTTACCAGGATGTTGCCTGGAATGGAGGGAAGGTCTCACGAGGAAAGGTTGAGAGCGCTAGGGCTTTTCTCTTTAGAACGACGAAGGATGAGAGGTGACTTGATAGAGGTGTACAAAATGATCAGAGGTATAGATAGAGTGGACAGCCAGAGACTTTTTCCTAGGGTGGAGGTAGCTATTACGAGGGGGCATAATTTTAAAGTGAGTGGAGGTAGATATAGGGGAGATGTCAGGCAGGTTCTTTACTCAGAGAGTGGTCCGGGTGTGGAATGCATTGCTGGAGAGGGTAGTGGAGTTGGCCTCATTAGGGGCATTTAAGCGGCTATTAGATAGGCATATGGATGATAGTATAAGGTAGCGATGGAGGTTAGATAGACCTTAGGTTTCGGGTAAAAGTTCGGCACAACATCGTGGGCCAAAGGGCCTGTACTGTGCTGTACTGTTCTATGTTCTATTTATGAAAGGTAGTAAGGAAAAGCCAGGGAACTATAGACTGGTGGGCCTGATATCAGTGGTGGGCAAGTTGGAGGGAATCCTGAGGGACATATATTTGGAAAGCCAAGGACTGATGAGAGATAGTCAACATGGCATTGTGCATGGGAAATTGTGTCTCACTAACTTGATTGAGTTTTTTAAAGAAGTATCAAAGAAGATTGATGGCAGAGCAGTGGATGTGATCTATATGGACTTCAGTAAGGCATTTGACAAGGTTCCTCATGGTAGACTGCTTAGCAAGGTTAGATCACATGGAATACAGGGAGAACTAGCTATTTGGATACAGAACTAGCTATTTGGATACAGAACTGGCTCAAAGGTAGAATACAGAGGGTGGTGGTGGAGGGTTGCTTTTCAGACTGGAGGCCTGTGACTGAAGGGTCCCAACCTGAGATGTCAGCTTTCCTGCTCCTCTGATGCTGCCTGGCATGCTCTGTTCCTCCAGCTCCACACTGTTATCTCTGATTCCAGCATCTGCAGTTTTTCCTATCTCTGTGTGCTGGGTCCACTGTGTTTTGTCATTTATATAAATGATAGGAGGTATGGTTAGTATGTTTGCAAACGGCACTAACATTGGAGGTGTAGTGACAGCGAAGAAGGCTGCCTCAGAGTTCAACAGGACCTCAATCAGATGGGCCAATGAGTGCAATTTAGAAAGGCAAATCAGGGCAGGACTTAATGGTAAGGGCCTGGAGAGTGTTGTTGAACAGAGACCTTGGGGTACAGGTTCATAGCTCCTTGAAAGTGGAGTCACAGGTAGATAGGATAGTAAAGGCAGCATCTTTACTTGCCTCTATTGGTCAGTGCATTGAGTATAGGAGTTGGGAGGTCATATTGCGGCTGTACAGGACATTGGTTTGGCCACTTTTGGAGTATTGTGTGCAATTCACCTCACACTTTTCCGCATTAAACTCCATTTGCCACCTCTCAGCCCAGCTCTGCAGCTTATCTATGTCCCTCTAACCTACAACATCCTTCTGCACTATCCACAACTCCACCGACTTTGGTGTCATCCGCAAATTTACTAACCCATCCTTCTACGCCCTCATCCAGGTCATTTATAAAAATGACAAACAGCAGTGGCCCCAAAACAGATCCTTGAGGTACACCACTAGTAACTGAACTCCAGGATGAACATTTCCCATCAACCACCACCCTCTGTCTTCTTACAGCTAGCCAATTTCTGATCCAAACCGCTAACTCACCCTCAATCCCATGCCTCCGTATTTTCTGCAATAGCCTACCATGGGGAACCTTATCAAACGCTTTACTGAAATCCGAATACACCACATCAACCGCTTTACCCTCATCCACCTGTTTGGTCACCTTCTCGAAGAACTCAATAAGGTTTGTGAGGCACGACCTACCCTTCACAAAACTGTGTTGACTATCCCTAATCAAATTATTCCTTTCTAGATGATTATAAATCCTATCTCTTATAATCCTTTCCAACACTTTACCCACAACCGAAGTAAGGCTCACTGGTCTATAATTACCAGGGTTGTCTCTACTCCCCTTCTTGAACAAGGGGACAACATTTGCTAGTCTCCAGTCTTCTGGCACTATTCCTGAAGACAATGACGACATAAAGATCAAAGCCAAAGGCTCTGCAATCTCCTCCCTAGCTTCCCAGAGAATCCTAGGATAAATCCCATCCGGCCCAGGGGACTTATCTATTTTCACACCTTCCAGAATTGCTAACACCACCTCCTTATGAACCTCAATCCCGTCTAGTCTAATAGACTGTATCTCAGTATTCTCCTCGACTACATTGTCTTTTTCCTGCGTGAATACTGACGAAAAATATTCATTTAGCACCTCTCCTATCTCTTTGGACTCCACGCACAGCTTCCCACTACTGTCCTTGACCGGCCCCAATCTTACTCTAGTCATTCTTTTATTCCTGACATACCTATAGAAAGCTTTAGGGTTTTCCTTGATCCTACCTGCTAAAGACTTCTCATGTCCCCTCCTGGCTCTTCTTAGCTCTCTCTTTAGGTCCTTCCTGGCTAACTTGTAACTCTCAAGCGCCCTCACTGAGCCTTCACGCCTCA